TTTTCAAACCAAGTAACTCATTTGGGGATAGTTGTTTTCGCGTTATATCAGAGATCATTTTTACGTTCCCTGTACTCCAGATGGTCCTAAAAAGCTTCCTAGTACAACTCTGGTACAGCTAAGAAGCTCACCACCTTGTAGGTGATTTACCATTTCCCCAAAGCGGGGCTCTGGCCCCCTGCCCTTTGCCAACTGCTGCCTTCTTCAGCCTTCCCCCCTCGCCCCAACCCCATTGCCGCCACCTCCCCCGGCTCCCCGGGCCCTGCTCCTGGGGCAGAGGCATTGCAGAGCCCACGGAGAGCAGGCATGGGAGTATCTCGTGGCTGTCCTCCAGAGACCTCCCCTGCCTTCCTGGGAGATGTAGGGTGAGACATAAGATCTGGAGAAAACACACACATTTGGTGGGGAAACTGAAGCTGAACTGCTTGCTAGGACCGCTTGCCCAGCTCTGTAGCAGAGGAAGAAATTAAACCTGTGGAGGCTGCACACGAAGATGGCTGCTGGTGTCGGTAGCCTTTCTGCAGGGCAGTCATCCACAGTGTAGTCTTCAGGGTATGTCACATCCCTTTATTTTGTCCATGAAAGTCAACACAAAATACTGTTAGTACCAAAGATCGACTGTAAATTCCCACAAAGGGGATACTGTCACGTGCTTCTCCATTCCCCACTAGATGGAAAGATTACATACAGTATTGCCATTCTGTTCTGGCAGCTTTTTTTAACAGAAGGTATAGGGCAAGAGTCAGACCTTAAATCCCAACAAGATAAGGTCGATATTTTAGATAGCTATATCCTGTTATACCTAAGCTTTTAAACTAGACATGGCAATGCTAAATTTAAGAGAAGTGTTAACTCCCCAGATTTCTAGGAAAGTTTTGCAGTTTCCACTGAACCTCACGCTACCATGAATATACTGCCAGAAGATGCTCAAGATAGCCATTTCAAAATACAATAACCTCAGTCACTACATTTGCAAAAATCACCAGTAAGGGGTCCTGGTGGAATCCTTTCGCTACTGCCTTCAATTTCCAGTAACCACCATTCCCAGGGCCTTGAAAGCAAAGAACTGTGAGGCTTTTACCCATGCCAAGTAGAGGTTGAAGAGGGTCGGTCTGGTACTCTCCTGGCCTGCCCACAGATTAGAGACTGAACATGCAGTGTTCTCAGCCCTCTCATTTCCCTGCAAAAGGTGCTGAACTCCCTTTCCAGAACAGGCATGCACACAGCATGCTCGTAGATGACTAACACTGTACTCCGTGTTGCAAATGTGCTTTATTCTATGGTCATTACTTTTTCCACAGTCAGACCAAGAGTGATCCTTTTTCTATTTTATCTCACAGTAATGGGATAGTTTGGCAACAATATCACTCACTGTTTTCCTTTTTCTCCTTCTAAAGAAAAGAGACATTTTTCAAGCGTCCGTTTTCCAAAAGCCACGGAGTTGGAGTTTTTTTGCCAAAGAAGTGTGTGAGTCAAGCTGCTAACAGATAGTACATGCAGATCTTTTAGAAGCGCGTTAAGGCCTTCCTGGGAAATAGCTCACATCTGACTTCACAGCCTGACACAGCCCGCACAGTCCGAGCAGAACACCCGTTAGCACATGAATCATGGCAGAGCAACAGGTAGCTCAACACACAACGTTATGTCACAGTTACATCAATGTTCAGGGTAACAAAAGAGGAATAAAAATAAAGAGCCAGAATACTACTGTGTTATTCAGCCTGATTAGAAGCCAAAATATTGTGATGAGCCAGCCGAAAAGGATAAACACAGCCACACAAACGGATTTCCCCTGCTGCCAGTACCGTCCAGCGGGGTAAAGCCCAGGGAAAGGTAGCAAGTCAGAGAGAAAGATCACAGCATCCACTGCCCCTGTAAACCTTTGGCAATCAAAAAGAGACTATTTTCTGCAATTTGATTCTGCTACACATGAAAAAGAAGATTGGAAAAAAGACAGTGCAAGTGGGAAGAGACTAAGGTAACCACCAAACATTATCAGGGATCACTTTGTTGTCTCTGTAACTGAGACGACATCTACTCTTTACATGGGATGAGGACACTAGGAACGCTTGGGAGCCTTTCCATGCCCCGTGCTGCCTTGGTGTACAATTTGCTCCACCACAGCTCTGATGGAGCTACTTCCTCCCTATCTGCTTACAGAAATACCCATCTTCTTTCTGTGTGCCAAAACTAGCCAGCTATCTTCATGTCCACTATGTTGAATAGAAATATCTGAGTATAATTTGTTTGAGAGAAACACCGCAATGCATTCAGAAGTGAAAAAACTTGTTTGTTGTGAGGGAGTCCAGTGACCCAGTAATCTAACGCTTCTGCTAGACCACTGTTCCCAGAAGCGTATTTAAAAGCGCCATTTCCAGGAGACTGGAGTGAGAAAGTCTTTCCTAAGAAGGGAACTACAAAATAATTTAGGGAGTTATTGAAGACATGATTTCTGAGGGGTAGGATTCACTGGAAGAGACGTCATGAGATTTTCAGATCTGAAGTCCAGGATGCCAGAGTTGTGTTCTTTGACATAATTAATCTAAAACAAAACCTAAAACCCTGTGGGACGGTTACCATTTCTTGTGCATTGAATTCTGCACAATTTTATTTCAGAGTCAGAACAAGTAAAAAGCAAGAGCTGTACCCGAGCTGTGTGTACAGGATACTCTTAAGGACACCGAGGCATAGTCCTTGTCACTACTAGAACGCACAGTGGTCAAACAAGGAGATGTGACAAGGGTACACAGCTTTCGGAGCATTGCAAGAAAAGGTCATCCTGCTTCAGAAAGGGATGTTGGCATCTGTAATTTGTTTTGCATTTCAACTGATATTAAGCCAAACATTGTAAAAGCCTTAGTGACCAGATCCTTTCCTCCAGCATGCTGCTGGGAAGCTGCAGTGTTTAGAGGCTGTGATCTCACTGGTTACAAGGAAATCCCGCAACAGCATCAACAGCTGAAGCCAGCCCAGTTTCACTCAGAAATTTCTGCTGCTGGTATATGCAGAGCTGCCAAAACCCCATCTGAGTGTCACCGAGCCAGCATGAGAACTGGGGGAGTGTCACATCAGTACCCAGTGCTGGGGAACCAGCACCTTCCCGGCCCTCTCGCACCAGAGTACGCTTTACCAAATTTATTTTTCTGTTAACCCTTGTTGTTGGCCAAGAAGAAGCAGCAGCCAAATTTTCTCAGAGAGGGTTACCCATACGGACAGAAATGCTAACATTTCAACAGCAAAGACCAGCGGTGCCACACAAGGCCAGCCAGTGCTAATGTGAGGCACTCCTTGCTGTATGAGGAGATCAGAAAGGATGACAGCTTCAGAGAGAAAAGATGGAGAAATAGAACAACTTTCCTTGCTGAAAGGCCTAAAGCCCCAAAACCAGTCTGAAAAGCTGTGGTTACACAGCATGGTACGTGGTAAGGAGATAAGCAGGAGGATGCAAGAAGTGATACTGGGATAAAGCAGTCAGCCACACTCACAGGAAATGGTCCTGTTCCATGTTCTTCAAAACAAACCCCAAACACTTGTAGGGTCTTGTCTTGTCCAATTTTACCTGGTGTCTATGACCCTGTCACATTGCTGCAAAATAATGACTAAAAAAAAAAAAAAGAAAGAAAGATTAGACTTGCACTGGCAGACTTCTGAATACACAACTATAGAGAGGAATGTGACAGTGCTTGCAGGCTGCAACATAGGCTAAATATCTTCCAATATCTATAACATCTTTCAAAGAGTATCATCTCCACTTCTGGTCTAGCCCACAAGACCTGGAAACTGCTTAAAACCCCACGTGTCTGAGATATAGTCCATGTTAACAGAAAGAATTCACAAAACTCAGTATCTTTTAAAAGGTGTGGGGAGGATGTGTGGCTTGTAGCAAATCCTAAGATGGAAGAACGGAGCATAATATTTAGTGCTATAACAATGCCTATCACAACCCTGATGAATGTGTTTGAACTTCAAACACCTGTTGGCCAATTATAATAGAGGACTGTGAATATTAAGAATATTAAGGTTTTGTAAAGACTCCAACTGTAATGACTCCGGCTTTTGAGTGATGCTGAGAAAAACCTGCTATGTAATTTCAATGTGCTCTGTTGTCTTTCTGATTAGAGCTGGCTGGGGTCTCTCTCAGGCTATGCTACCAGGGCAAAACCTACATATTCATACTCAGCAGATGAAGCATCAAGAGTACAGTTATTTCTTTAAGGAATTCTGGTCATTGAAACACCACCTCCAGAAAACAGGCAGCAAATTACCCTTGGGTTCAGGTTCATTGCATTTTGTGATTAACCTCCAGGCCTGAGGTTTTCTTACCTCTAATTCTAATGTTAGATATACAAATTTAAGTTGTCACATGGCTTGAATCATCATTAAAGACATAAGCATGCAAAACAACAGTCGAATACCTTTGAAGACGCATATAACTGGTACTGGGGGATTTTGAAATTAGCATGTGGCCTCAGGCATTTTCATGTGGGCTTTGATGCTAATTCATTAAGTGTCTTCGGACAAAACAGCTTCCCTGGACCTTGAATTCCATGCCTGTACAATGAAGAGAATGACTGTAGTTAATCTGCTAGGGACTGCCGATTTGATTAATTCTTGTAATATCGCCACATCTAGCAGCCACAGAGTCAGCCGGGCATCGCTGTTTCTTTACACACAGGAGGCACCCCAGGTCATCACAGTCTCCTTCACAGAAAAAGGAAGCAGGAGAGGACCCTGCATAATGCTGGAAAGCTTTGAACAGTAGCTCTTGCCCTCACTCTGGGAGAAGTTACCGCCGTTTTTTCCGGCATTTTCCCGTTAGCTGTTACCCTGACTAGCCACAGATCTCAAGAGGCACTGAGCACCTTTGGGACAGTTACTCAGTGAGTTGTCTCCAGCCTGTGAAAAATCACATCATAGAGCTTAGGAAATTGGGAAGGGAGATAAGGGGATAACATTCCCCTTTTTTTTTTCTCTGGCTTCCCTGGACATACAGTAAGTACCTCCAGCATTTCAGCCAGCTGCAAGGCTTGTGGCTTCTTTGTTTCATTCTCAGCAGGTACATCTGGTTTCTGGTCGAGGGATGGCCCTTCGCCTCTTTTTCCTCTGAAACGAAACAAAACATGGACATCTGCAAAGTAACGAGACTGAAACAACTTCATTCACTTTCAGAGAGACTGAGCGAGGTTTCCTGAAACATAGCAGGATGTGAAAGCAGCAGCAGCACTCTGAGCAGCGCTTCGTGAGCCTCTGCGGCGGCAGCGCATCCTGCTGCAACACCAGGCTGCCCGGGGAACTTCTGCGCGTTCAACACACCTCTCCCAATGACAGCTTACACTAGTTTATTGCTTTGAAGTTACTGCCTCTGACGTCCAATGTTTGGCAAGGGTGGTCTAATCTGGGGAAAAAAAAACACCCTACATTTAAAAAATCAAATCTGTTTCTTCTTCTGTCCATGTTTAGGATATTTGGAAATTTCACAACAACAATTGCCAAATTTCAGTCACATTCCCCCCCATCTTCCTGACCAGCTAACTTTACTCCAGACCTCAGATACAGTAGATTCAGCTCACATCCCAACATCCATTCATCCTAATCTTCATTTGCAGCAGTGTTGTGACAGCTGTTCCCTGTGTCAGGACCAGCCGGCTGGGGAGAGCAGGGGGATCAGATAAATACGACAAAAGAACTGTTGTGACACCAGCATTGTACAAAGGAAATTAGGGATTGCATTTCAAGTCCAGCTAAATTCTGACAGCTCTCACGTATACGAACGCTTATTTTTCAATAACTATGATTTTCTACTTGCACCACTCTGTATTATTTAAACTTTTAATAAATCCCTGGCCACAAGTCTCTCACTGAAAGTAACTTTGCCTTCCCCCTCCAATGTCAGAAGTGACACCTCCTTCCACAAACGCAGGCCTCCGGACTGCAAGGTTTGGTGCCTGACGCATGCTGATGTCCTGCAGCATTAGCGATGTTGGCTTATTGCAGGCAGGCACACAGACTTCACCAGATAGGCTTTCCGCAGGATCTTAGCCAAAAAAAATACAACCCCAACACTTTTCTCTCTGAAACACGTGAGAAATGAAAAAATAAATCACTGCCCCATGTTGGCACCTGGTTTGTTAAAAGCAGGATTTGAGCCTCATGGTTTGCTTTTGAGTGCGACCTGCTTCAGCACGTACTGTTTGCTATTGCTGACAATAGATGCCTCCAGCTCCTTGGCTCTGGAGGTCGGTGCGCTCCTCAGTGGCCTTGCTCTGCAGGTGAAGTGAGGTCAGCCCAGGGATGTTAGGAGTCCAAAGTGTTTCACAACACTGGAGTAAAAAAATGGAGCTCAGGACCTGGATTCCTGTCCCGGCTCGGTCAGGGCTGGGTTGCAGGCTCTGGAAAGCTTATCCGCTGATGTCAAGAGTGATTTAACATGTGACAGTGTGTGGAAACTGGCTCTGCAAGCTGTTGCAACACACTTTAAGAGCAGCAAAGGCAGCAGGAGTATTACAAGCACTTTGCTACCACAGCAGTTCACGCCAAAGAAAATCCCCATAAAAAGCACTTACAGCCATCCTCTGGCAGAGACTGGTTAATAAGATGGATAGTAAGTGGGATAACTGGAGGTTCCCTAAGGCAGCCGTGGCAGGTCCCATACCCCAGAGATAAGGCTGCGTGCAAGCATGAGCCAGGAAAACAGGGAATGTGATATAAAATGGAGGAGAATACACGTTTTCCATGACCCAGGCACTTTCCCCAGGGCAGGAGAGAGCAGAAATCAAAATATCTCCTTCTCTGGAGATATTCAAGACCCACCTGGACAAGATCCTGTGCAGCCTACTGTAGGTGACCCTGCTTCGGCAGGGAGGTTGGACTAGATGACCCACAGAGGTCCCTTCCAACCCCTACTATTCTGTGATTCTGTGATTCTGTGAAAAGCAGGTTTGCTGTTTCTTCTCTGGGTTAAAGAAGTGATTCATCACAAGGGGAAAATGCCTTGTAATACCGTGACTCAGCAGAAAACATTACTTGCTTGGAAGCAACTGGAGGACACAGCCAGGACACAACAGTGAGTCAGGGCAATTTGGGATTTGGGCTGCTGCTTTCACCCTTCCCTCCAGCCTTCATTTAACAACCTGAGCATCTGGGAATAAGGAGGTCACTTATAAAGAAACACCTCATGTCGTCTTGTGTAGCTGGTGTGGGTTTAGACCGCACAGCACAAATAGAAGTAGAATGTCAGTCCCCTTCTTGTGAAGTGCTTTTTGGCACTGATCTTTCTACAGTAGCTCCCATGGCATGGTCCTAGCAAAACAGGGTGGTGAACCACAGATGAGCCCTCCAACATGTACAGTAGTCTAAATTCCTAGTAATACAGACCTGGATCACCAGCTTTTCCACAGGAAAAACAATGTGAGGGAGAAAACCTCATTATCACTGCAGCACTATACTCTGTGGTGTTTTCAGGGGAAGATCCCTCAGAAAAGAGGATACACCTTCTAGTAAATCATGTGTTAGCTTTCTGAGAACCACCGCAAGGGCGCTGGAGCAATGAAGTGTGTTTCCAAGACGGTCACCTAACTTGACCTTTCATCTCACGGAGTAAGAAGAATCCAGGAATAAGTCTCATCCTCAAGAAAGACACTGAGAGGGTAGGACACAGTCCAACTGCGCTCTCCTCTCCAATTTACTTAAGCGGTCCTGCAGAGCAATGAATGGTATCCGAGTACCCGAGTACTAACTCAAAACATAAGTTAAAGGAGTTTTTCAGACATTGAGGCTGTCCTGCTCACATTTTAGGAAATGTTAATTTTCCCTAAACCCTTCAGGTGGACATACACAGTGTTTTTCTTTTCACTGTTTGATGTTACACAACAGCCTGAAGACCCCAGCCATGAGTAATTCTCACAGTCAGTGGCAGTGCATCACTCACCAGGAAGTTGACTTTCCACCCTAGACTTTATAACCCAAGACACAGCCAATGGGCAGCAGATAAATAGGAAAGGGAAGCTAATTAAAAGAAAAAAGCTTAAAAAAACCCTAAATAAAATTAAATAGCAAACAAAGGAAAGGTGACACATAGTGACAGTGAAAGCAGGTGTGATTACATGAGCTAGTCACCACGGAGACACAGGTAATTACAAGCTGTTTCTGGAACATTTGTATGGCATGAAAAGGCACAATTTGGTGAAGACAAAATGATCCTTTCATGAGTCTGAAATAGTGCAATATGCAAAACTGTAAGGTTTTTTATTTACTGGATGGATTCATGGATTTACTATAAGACCATGAAGCTCAAGCTAGGATCTCATTGCTCAGCACTTTGACATCATCTGAAAGATTAAAATGAGCAACACTGGTGGGGTTTTTTCCCTAAATTTCTGCTGCCAAACCCTGGCAACGTGTTAGAACACACTGTTGGTGTTGGGCCACTGCCAGAGGATGAGCCAAGAAACTGGCTGCAGGAAGCGTCACTAGTCCTTACAGCTGAAATCACAGGAGTGAGTTAAATTCAACTTTGCATACTCGCAGATGTAGCTAGGTCAGGCTCCTGGCTCAGGCCCTGGTTTCTGTCCTGCCTGAGCAGCACAGTTTCCAACCCAGGCTGCCAGAGGTCATCCAAGGACCACCATGACTTCACTGGTGTCTCTCCTGCGGACAGCTGTGCATGTGAGATTAAAGCTGCCTGTATCTTCTCCTCTTAGGAATCCCCTCTGAAAAGTAGCCCTCTCTTCAGCGTTAACTAAAACTGAGGATATAGCGTACCAAGTGTTAAGGAAGGGTCTATGCCAAAACAAAAAGATAGTAATAATCCCTCCAGTCCCACATTACTTATTCCTATCCCTGTTCATCTTCTTCACCCTCTCTTTTGCCCCCTCTCCATCAGCAGCACCAGATGAATGAACCAGATCTGGAAAATGTTTCAGCTGAAATCCGTATCTCACCATGCATTTCTGCTTGTTGGGGGCTTTCTGTTTGGTTGAACGTACATCACAAATCAGTCTAAGAAAAAAATTACAAGACTATTCACCAGCCTACTGACTCACTTGAATTGTCATTCCTTTGTTTTGGTCCAAAGGTACAACACCACTCCCCAACCCTCAAAATGAACTGCAAGGAGATACAAAAATCCCTGAACACCTCTACACAGACTTTTGGTTGCTAGGTAGTTTGAAATTCACGTCCCTGTGCAGTTCCTCTTTGTCACCCAAGGCCAGTGTATGTCACATATCATCGCAGGTTCACTAGTGCAAGTGACTATTCATAAACTCTGAAAAGCGTGCCAGGCTGGAAGAAAAGACCGACAAACCTGCTCAGAGACTGCTGGGCTGCAACAGTGGGACTAGAAGCTGCAGTGACACCAGATGTCCCAAATGGCTCTAGTCTTTTATTTCACAATTTGATGTGAGGGTCAATCCTTTAAGGCCTTTCCTAAGCGTGGTAGTAGTGCCTGGAGAATGAGTTTGTGGTCCGGGGGGGGAAGGACACAGGCAGAAGGGCACAACAGCAAAGCAGCAAGCCATAATGCTCAGGTGTAAAAAGGACAAACCCTGGTGAGTTTAGGCTCCCGGGCAGCTCCTAATCTCCTCCTGAGGGCAGATCACCCATACTCTTGGGCAAGTCTCTCATCTCCTCATCTGTGAGGTTTATGAGGTTGCACCAAGCAGAGTGCCCTAAGGAGACCAGGGCTCTACCGCCAGGACCATCGCATCACCCTAGGCAGCAGCCCGGGCAAAAGCAAAAGAAGCATCCTGGCTTCAGAAATTCAGTCAAGACCAGCTGCAACACCCACGGGAGATGGCCCCATTGCTGTTGTTTATGATTTTGAAAATCTCTCCTTACTCGTTTACTGATTCCCAGACATACTAGTAACCTTACTGGCTGGAGAATCCCAGACTCCCTCACAACACAAGACTCTGAATGCAGCTGAGAAGCAGAAATATACTTTCCCTGAGGAATTTTCAATTCTTGAAAGTTATATAACTTAACATTCTTGAAAGTTATATAACTTAACATTAATTCTTACTGTATATTAATACCATGAATGGCAGAAAGACAAAAGAAGCATTTGAGATTTTATGGAGCAAAACCCAATTATATTAAACTGATGCCAGCAAAGATGTTTCCTCAGCTGAAGGGTAACCTGAAGTCCTTATGCTTGCTTGACAGAATGTTTAACTTCGCTGTGCCAGTAATGCTCCCTGCACATTTTATATTGAAATAAAATAGCAAATCTATCTGCCTTGTATTTTCCTCCTTAGGCAACTTATCTTCAGGGAGAATGACTACAAGCATGCTGAGGGCAAGCATTTCTTTACAGTCTCATTCACTTGAAATCCTCATGAGCTCCCAGTAGTTTTTATTGAGTTCCAGTACAGCTGGTACTGTTATTAGAGCCATAATAGCCTCAGAGTCCTTAAGGTGGACTAGACCTTCAGTAATAATAATAATAATAATGACAACAATAATAATAAAGCAATTGTCAAGCCTTGTGTTGACAGATAGGACCACAAAAAACAGCTAAATACACCCCAGAGGCTCAAACCCAGTAAAGAAAATGCAAGAAGAAAGAATTATTTATTATATATTTAGCCTCTTGCATGCTGGGATACTTGTTTAATGCATGGCGTGTGAGAGTGGCAACGCTGCTATGGTGTCCTCCTGACAGAGTTCCTGCCACTAAACCCCCCTGGGTACAGAACAGAAGTGGACAAGTGGGATTAGCTAATTGAGTTCCCTTCATTAGAAGGCTGGGAAATAGAGCAGAAACATGGTGATTTTTGTCTGAGGAGGCTCGAGTGGAGGGGAGAGAAAAGAGGTGAGGCTCCTCTCGCTCTTCCCATCTCTAGGCAGAATCCTGCCCTGGCAGCGCCTTCGGCAGCACAAAAAAACTGCACTTCCACTGCCATTTTGTCCTAAGGGATGGGGAGGGTATATTTCTTTCCATTTCGTGTTCAAGGCCAAGTGTTCAAGGCCA